TATCAATAATAAAAATTTATTCACAAAATAATCACTCATTCATTGAATTCACTCTCAATTCAATGCAATCGTAACACAACTGAACGCCTATTTCTCAATGAAAATCATTCACTTTAATCATTGAAATTGTCATAAAAATATGCTTTTTTGTACATAAATAACGTTATAAAACGTGGGGATGAGTGCAATAATGTGGGGTCACATCCATTGACTTACACTGTTATGGGGGCCGTCGGGGGCTTAATATACAGCATAAATATGAATGAATTGTACTGTTTTGTGGTATATTTTGTAAACTATTGCTATCTCTCATTCATAAACAACGTGTGCATTAATAAACCCCTTTTGACACGACATGCGTTTCTTATATTGAATATTAATGTTTAATAATTTATATGAATTAATGTATGAATTAGTTTAAAATAATTTTTAATTCATAATAAACATTATTAAACATTAAAACACAAGTTTTATTATGCGTTGAGTGTATTCTTTGGTAACTAATTGTCGTGTGTTTAAAATGAGCACAAAATAGGGGGCAATAAATGTATTGCAAAATACACTGCAGAATAGAGTGACCAAATGAATCAATGTTTTTAATACAATTTTGAATTTTAACATAAACTATTTTTTAAAAGTTGAAATCTTAATTGATTGTGAACATTTGTACCATGGTGACTTTATGGATATAATTTCAAAGCTAATATTTAAAATCTTAAGATGATTTGTTAGCAGTAAAATATAAATATGTTGCGCGACATGTGATCAGTCTATGTATAATACACGGCAGAGAAGCCTAAAGACAGCATTGAATGCATTGATTACGACATCTATTAAAGTATAGACCCTTTTGCCACACGTTTTGATGAAAATGTGTTTTTATTGAAAACTCGATTTAAATGACATGTGATTTGAATTGAATTACAATAATATGGATAACAATACCCGCCATAAGAAGAGCGCACATCTGGTCTGCGATTCCGGGCCTTTCATTGTCGGCACTCAAATAGAGGTAGAAATGAGTGTTTGATATGTTTGATGAGTATTAATGGATTGATTTGATGCAGGATTTGGCCGAAAACGTGTATACATTGCCTGAAGTGGTGAATGAGATTAAGGATGAAAACACACGACAAAGACTTCAATTCATTTCATATGAACTCAAATACAGAGAGCCGTCCGAAGAGGACGTTAAGGCTGTCATCAGTTTTGCCAAAAAGACTGGCGATTACTGCCAATTGTCCGCAACTGATATCAAAGTGATTGCTCTGACATTAAGACTCGAGAAAGAGATCAATGGAGACAAAC